ACACACACACACACACACACACTCTCACACAAACATGCACACACACGCAGTATACTTGCACTTACAAACATGCTTACAGTCACATGCATAATATAAATGAACAATAATATAAACAATACTAATATTAAGCTAGAAGCTGGATACACACTCAGTATTATTCATAGATTAATCTTTTTATGCTGTCTGTCATTATTACTTTATTCGTTAGTTCTACATAATGTGGGTGGTTGGCGGGTACTCTGTTGTGCTTTGCTCTTTCTTTCCTACCATACGTCTATTGTTCTTATTTTTTGTCCATCTTTTCGGCGTATGTAACTCTCTATCTCTAGATCTAATCTTTGACACTTATATGCTCTAATTTGTGTTGCAAATGCTGTAAATCCCTGTCTGAAACGAAAAGTCTACATTTTTAAAGAGCTAGATGTTTTTGCGCTTTCATTGATACAATTTAGATTATTAAGAAAGCTGGCTTCAACCCAGACTGAAGGAGGTACAAAATCCCAACAGCAAGACTGAGATATACGATATAAATTGGTGCTTTTTTGTTGCTGTTTTGTTTTTGTTTAAAATGTTTTTTTTTTAGCCTATTGTCCTTCTGAACTGTCTCCGCCACAGTCATTCTTCAACCTCTTTCTTCGTACAAAACGCGTGGCCTATCGTCTTGCTTTATTCCTCACTAACTTCCTCGCACACTGACTGACGAGATGACGGGCTGGCTAACAGATTGATCAAATCACTGACGGTCAACTGAAAGACTGCCTCCCTCACTCACTCACTCATTCACTCACTCACTCACTCACTCACTCACTCACTCACTCACTCACTCACTCACTCACTCACTAGATATTGATTCACTCGTTCACTTATTCGTTCATTCACTTATTTCCTAATATATACTAGGCTCCTTCCTCCACTCATTCCCTTTCTCACTCAGTTATTTTTCAAGTTCAATGTCTCTTTTTGGATTATGAAAAAATACAAACAAAACAAAACACGACGAACTGAAAATATCGATGTCTTAATGAACTGATTTAAAGGTCACCTTTTCACACATTTTCACAGAACTTCCTGCAGTCTTTTTAAGTCCATCGAACAACCAGACCTCTGTGACCTTCACCTCTGGTTTGAACGTAACCTTGACCTGCGAGTGTTATGATGGCAGCATAACAAACTCGACCTTGATCTTCAGCTGGTTCAAAGATGGCGTGCTGTTGCCAGGCTACAATCTTTCTATTGTGATTTTGCCCGAGATCTCGATCTCAGCCAATCAGCAAGGTCTTTATACTTGTCACGTGCTCGCTGAAGGTCAAGCCATGTCTACATGTGACATCAATATCATTGTTTTAGGTAGGTACGTGTGTGTAGGTGTGTGTGTGAGTGCGTGTGTGTGCGTGTGTGTGTATGTGTGTGTGTAGATGTGTGTGAGTGCGTGTGTGTGTGTGTGTGAGTGTGTGTGAGTGTGTGTGTGTA